CCCATTCGTGTTTCTACCGTGAAGCAGTTTGTTTTTGCATGGCTGTGTTTCGGTTTGAAGGGTGGGATATGGCGTGAAGTTACACACGAGTAACACCCGAGTCCTCAGGAATGGCAACGCATACGGGGTATCATGAGCGAAACAGTATACTCTGTTATGTCCATGGTACTGCTCATGTCTATAGGCAACGGTCACCACTTTCCGTCAGGTGTGCCGTCAGCTTGTTTGCCATTCTAAGTTGTATAAAAAAAAATATGATGTGATGTACGAGCAGGTGCTATGGAGTAATAATAGTAATTAATTTTTTTGGTTCACAATCCATTTCGTGTTCATTTTTGGTCTTCATTTTTTCTCCAAATGGTGTTCTCCACCAGTCAACCATTGGACAAACAGAGAAATAAGTAGGCTGTGCATTATTGAATTCAGAAATGTTAAGAAATACATACTATATGCACATATTATAAACATAATTAGACTAATACATAACATAATACATTAAATAAATAAATATGTATATACATACAATAAATAAATACATAAAATATTACTATAATAAACAATTAACTGTATTAGAAAAGCAAATTAAAGAATCTATAAACCAAACAGAGTAACTAGCAAGGTTAAATTTAAAGAGAAAATGAAAAAAAAAGAGATTAAAGTTTATAAACTGAGATTGAGATTTCTAAAAATTATAGAGATAAGAGAAATACTCAATTTTGTTGTACTTTTTTATGAGTGTTGCCTCATAACACCGTCAGTTAGAAAACGATCTGGAAAATTCCCATACAAATTTTATCAAAATCGATTCAGTGATTTAGTTATGAAATCAAAATAAATAGTTTTACTATAATTAAAGTTTTTTTTTTTTTTTTATGTAGGACACGGTCTTAAATGGTAATATAAGCTTTTTAAACCATCTACCAAAATAAGCCTATAAGGCCAGGCATACCATTATTATATGTTGTAAATTTGCATTTTAAATTACAAAAGTAAGTAATATAACAGTTTTCAATTCTTCTTCATTCTCCTGGCTGTTATTTCTGTTTCTTTGAAGTCTGTACTTAATAAACAAAATAAAGTTATTTACTAATATTTAAATATTTTCTTACAGAAAATTTATATGTAAAATTTGCAGCCGTGCAAATTTAAGACGAGACACTAATCTGCCATTAAATAGTATTTCCAAAAACTAAACACTGAGACATGCATATTTACATCCGTATCTTTTCACAAACACAACCTCAGATAGCTGGGGGGAAAGGATTGTTTGTAATGGGGATGTTAGCCCCCATCGTTATCAATATACCTTATCAGGTCGACCTCCACGCGGTTCCCCTGAAAACCACCATGACTCATTTATTGTTAAAATCGTCGCGATGGGCTTACTGACCTGCCTTTTCATCCTCACCAATCATCCCTCACTGGTGCCTCGCTAATGTATACCGATAGCGCTGGCAGGGTTACTATTCCATTATCATCCATAAAGAAAAAATTCAAATAGCTTTACAAATAAATATCTAATAATAAAGTGTTTAGAAGAAAATACATGTATAATTGCAATCGATAAACGTGAAAGCCGGCATCGGATACGTGACGATAGTATCGGATATCGAAACTGCCGAGACGCTCTGATTGACGTTGCAATAGGCCGGCAACATACTCAGCAAGAGAACAACACTAGCTTACGGTAATAAATAATTGAAATCACATTTCACACCAGATAAATGGCAGATATCGTATTCCATCGACCGTTTAATCAGTAAACTTGAAAATCAGATCACAACAAAGTATGGAAACGTCGCAACTATGTAACTGTTTTTTTAAATTTTCAAAAACAACTTTGAACTTTTTTCGGTTTCTAATTGATTATTTCATTTAAAAAAGTGCTCAGCTAGCGAACTAAATGTAAATTATGCAGTAATAGTCTTATTACTTATTATTAGCTTACACTAACTTTTTTTTATACCACAAAGCTGGCAAACAAGCATATAGTCCATTTGATAGTAAACGGTCACTGTAGCCTATGGATGCCTGCATAATTTGCAGTATCCCGTACGCGTTGCCGACCCTGAAGAAACTTTAATATATACCAGAGGGAGCCTATTATTAGGGCGAATATTTGTAAAACTTATTTATAACTTTAGAATTCCCAATTACGCATTAAAATGTTATCAAATCGGTTATTTGATTAGAATTATTTTGTTTAATTCCGCTACCGTTAGTATGTGTACTGGCAACATATATATTATCGAATATTGTCCACTATTACTATTAATAGAAGTTTCACAACCTTCCATATTAACGATCAACCTCCGACTGTCATTTCGTCCACGCACGTTTTGCGACATATGTTTCATCTCTAAATGAGGCATCTTCAGGCAAATTAATAGATCGATGCTTGGACCTTAGTGTTTTATCTTATCCGTTGAGCGCTCAAACTGCAAAAATAAACAAATCAATTTGGATTTAGTAACAATCCTCTAAACGCAGAAAATGTAGCTGAATTCCTTTTTTTTAAGACTTGTGAAATTTTATAAATCCTAAAATTTGCTCTATTTCTGTTCACATTCGTATTGTATACTTGACCACATTCTATCCACCACATATAATCTGAATGCGTACCAACCTTAACGCCAGAGTTCAATGTGACCCATGTGCCTGCATAACGTAGGTATTTTTATAGAAATATATGTAGGTATTAGACATACCGACCCCAGACGCCAGACATCGCAACTTATACTAACATGCCCATAAGTTTGCAAGCTTAGCTTTTGATAACACTTCCTCGTGAAGCTGGATCAAGCCCATATGTTCGGATTGCGCCGTCCACAAAACTAAGCACGAGCAATCTGTAGTTTATAGATGACACCTTAGAAGGTACACCATGTAAATATGTACACCAGGTAACTTAGAATAATATAAATCAAATCCAATTTTTTACAGCATTTTCTCAATCTGATAAGAAGATCTTTAGCATCATAAATAACAGGGTATCTTCCATTATCACAAACTGGAACCAATTTACAAATATTACCAATTATTTATTCTCTGGACGTACCACATTTAAAAGAAGGATTATTTTTTATGCGTTTGTTAAATACTGTTTTTGCTATTTTCAAACTGATTTTAATAGCTCTCCTCGTGATCGTTTTCGTATTATTTCTATACTAGTTTTTCCCGTAGTTTTGTCCACATATGCCAATAAAATAAAATATCCAGTGTGTTAGGTTTTGATATAACTGACGCGTGTAATTTTTTTTATTAAAATACGTTCAGATACGCGTGATTGAGAAACAAACATCAAAACATGCACATTTACAATATTAGTCATCATTATCATCATATCAGCCCTTAACTGATCACTACCGAACAGAAGCCTCCTCCTTGTCGTGTTTTGCCAGTAGTTGCCACACTTAGCAGGCCAATTGGCAACCGCAGTTAGGCTTTAGAAATGTTTTAAGGAGGACGCTGCTGCCCATCTCTTGCCCTCCCTTAAACGCCTCTTATAATACCCACTGGAAAGTAATCAATGACCTATTCTATGCCGGGAATACACGGGAATATTAGTAGAATAGGATTCATCGCAAGTACCCATTCTTTACCATAACTAAAAGACTCCTTCATCTCGGATGTTTATGTTCAGCGAAAATGAAAATCAACCTATCTCCATCTGTAAAGAAACCCTACAATTAAATAATTATTATAACGTCAGAATACCCGGAATATTTTACGTAAATTGGTATACGGCCGCCCATGAATAAGGATCCCGGATAATCCCAAAACTAGTCAAGTATTCTCAACTAAAATACACATAAGTTAATCCGGGTATTCTTATATTAAAACATATACTTAGGAAACTTAACTATAAAATAACTATTTTATTACTAAAAAGTTTTACTCCAAGGATAACTCGAAAATATCCTTTCAATAAAGAAAGCGTCCCACAACCATCATTTGATAATAATTATAAACCAGTACCTTAGACTAGGACAGTCTATGATTTCATTTTATATTTTTATTTCGACTTGAAGTTCGATACCACTGTAGAAGGTTCATAATAAATGCGTCACATTCTTAAGAAAATAACTCAAGAAACTGAACGTAAAAATAAAATTGAAAACGGCATAATTTCCCGCAGCATAATTGTAAAGGAACTCTTTATAACCCATTCATATTACAACAACGTTTCATTGCATCCATTTCTAAAAGCACAGCTTATATAATCACACTTTGTTTATATTGCAAGACGTACAGAATTTGCTATTATGTGTACACAACATTTCTACTCTGTGAAACATAATAGTTTGTTTTTGTAACAAAAACAAACGTGCCTATTTTAACTGCAACGCGAAACGTCAAAACAGTTCAAAACACAATAAGCAATTTGAATCGCTCATAGGGATTGTTATTTCACACTAAGCATATTCACATTCCACAGGACTGGGCTTTTTTAGGGTTCAACACCATCTAACCTTTCGATAATGTTTCCAGGATTACAATAAATAATGATTAAGTAATCCGAACCTATATCCTTTGGCGATCTTAAAAATGTTATAGAATATTATACAGGTTGTCCAGAAGAGATGGCTTTAGCTTAGCGATAAGACCGCCTTTTATACTTCATAAGTGTAATATATATATTACTGTTAAAGCCTACACATTGGTAAATCGTAATTTTCCCCAGTAAAGCTTAGGATTTACCAATGTGAGTTATTAAATGTAAGGATTTTATAAAAACAAGATAATTTTTATATCTTTCAATAAACATTATATTATCTGTGACCAAACTAAACCTAACCTAATCTATCTTTCTGACCACGAGCATAATTATCACGCACTGAACATGTCAAAAATATGTCTAGCACTGTACAAGCCCGAATTAAAAAAATAAAAAAAATAGACTAATAATTAAAATGTGCAAATGCTTATTATGTTACTGCAAAGCTCATACATTTGTTTCTTTGGTTTGATTCATTTTGTGGTAAATAACAAAACAGAAATCACTTTTGAGTCTTTAATTGTTTATTGACATATAGATTCACCAATCTTACAATACATTCACAGAAAATATAAAATAAACTAAATATACATAATTGACCAGTAATTTTTATTAGTGGACGCGATTCAACGCAAATCTACGCACGCAATTAAATAAGCATACATAAATATCACCAGCTTTAATATAATATATAAATAAAGACAATAATGAATCATTTTGCCTAATATAATGCGTAACAACTGAGTCAGATCTGGTTATAGAAACCATTATTTATTACCTACATTATAACCAGGTGTCCTTTAGCTTAATATCGGGTGACCTAAGAGATACAATCTAATCTGTACTAGACCTACACACTAGAGAAAGGTTATAAATTCGAAATAATCCACTAATCCTGTTTATATTAGTAGAATAAAACAGGTATTAATAAAACAAAACTGTTACCTACATAGTCATTAATTTAGCTTTCTCAACTCTAGACAATTCCCAGTAACATTTAAAAATAATAGCAATTAATCGGGTTATGTCTAAACTTTTTGCTAGTGATATTTTATCAGGCGTTTATATTTGATTGAATTGCCTTACTAATGTATTAAAATTGTAACGAAACGAAGTCTGTATATGGAGATATTTAATAACAAATCACATGAGAGGTCTTTCTAAAACTGACAGATGCTAAAATAATATTTTTTAAACATTTTGCCTATTTGTATTTTTGTAAAAGCGAGAAACAGTGTTGACGGTGTATTGCTCTCGATTATGTCAAGTAAAAATATATCGAGCAAAGCTCGCCTTGCCATAGTTCAGGGAGTGACACTCACTGACACCAACACTCATGTATGGAAGCGAATCGTGGGTATGGCAGAAAGAGCATACAAGAAGGATAAATGTTGTAGAGATGAGAACTCTGAGAAGTATGTGTAGTATTACATTAAAAGATAGAATTAAAAAAATTGTGATAAGAGAGAAGTGTAAACTGAAAGACGATGTAGTGACAAAAATTGAAAAAGGAATGTTGCCTTGCGTCTATTTTATTGGTTTTCCTACTTCTGAAGTCCACCCGCACGAAATAGCGAGCAAAAAGCTAGTAAATAATAGTACCACATGACATTGACCTTTATTCTGCGGCTAGAAAGTTTTTATAAAATAAAAAAAAATCAGCACAATATTTTTAATTATGTTTAATTACATAAAAATCACAATTTATTTTAAAATCTGCGATTTTGATACAAGAATATCTTTAGTGACATAAAGTATATATGTACTTATAAATAACTAAACAATATCATGTTAAACAATATGGTAATTTCATTAACATATATTCTACTGACATTATTCAATAAGACATCAAAAACGTATTTTTGATATACTACCAATTCATTTATCAGTTGAATAAATAAAAAATATGCTATAATACTATAACAAATATTAAGGTACCAAATACCTTAATATTTTACTAATATAGACTACAAAACATTAATGAAGTGAAGACTACAAAAGTAATCATAATTTTTTCCTCACATATCAAATCCATATCATAGATAAATAAGTCTATATACTACTCTTTATTGGAATTATCTATTACAAACTCTATGAAATTCCTCGTAATTATTCTAACCAGAAGTAGTTCTATTTACCGCTAAACCATCAGCTATTCTGCTACCTAAATTGGAATGGATAAGAGTATACAATTTTACAGCTCTTTCTTGAAGGTATGGCGCAGCATTGCCCAAACTTTCAACAATATTCTGTACTAATCTACTTCTTTCGCCAGCCGTCATTTCATTTTCATACATACTTCTAGCTTGATCAAAATTATCTGGCTCATCTTGATGTATATCTATTAAAGACGGTAAATCGTCGTCTTTATAAGGCACTGGTCCATTGAAGCTGTTAGGATAATAATTTGGTATACCTTCTTCGTTATCTTTAACGGGCGCAACACCATCACGATTATAAGCTAAAGCTTTATGAATAGGACAATTGACGGCAATTTTATTGAAATTAGCTCCTAGACGGTAATACTGTGAGTCTCTATAAGCCAGACGTCTAGCTTCAAAAAGTTTATCTGGAGCTCCAAGTATACCAGGTACGAGGTTGGATGGACTATATGCTAACTGTTCAACATCCGCGAAGTAGTTCAGTGCATTTCTGTTTAAAACAAAGCGTCCCAATGGTCTCAGTGGATACTTGTCTAGCGGCAAGACTTTTGTCACGTCGAATACATCAAATCCAGCAGTATGGACATCATTTAAAGTTAGTACTTGAATACTAACTTGCCATGCTGGAAAATTTCCATTAGCAATAGCATTATATAAATCACGAGTTAGATAGTCAGGATCAACTGCTCCAATGTTTCTACCTTCCTCAGAACTTAAGTTTTTAATACCAGCTTCCGGAATAAAATGGAACCTTACAAAATGCCTTTCCCCATGTTCATTGACTAATTCAAACGTGTGTATACTAAATCCTGGCATGTGACGATAACTACTGGGTATACCTCGATCTCCTAATACTATCATAAACATAAATAAACCTTCTGGCTGTAAAGTTAAGAAGTCCCAGTATGTGTTCGAATCCATCAAATTTGTTTCTGGATTCCTTTTCTGTGACCTTACGAATGCTGTGAATAGTAGCGGATCTTTAATAACAAACATTGGAGTATTGAAACCCACGATATCGAAGTTACCATCCTCAGTATAAAATTTAATAGCGAACCCTCTAACATCACGATTGGTATCTGGGCCTCCCCTTTCGACCACTACAGGAGATAACCTTACTGCTACCGGCGTCCTTTTGCCAACAGAGCTGAAGAGTTTAGCTTTACAAATGTCAGTAATATCATGGGTTACTTCGAAATATCCGAATCCACCTCCAGCTTTGGCGTGAACTACGCGCTCGGGGATTCTCTCTCTTACCAAATGTGTTATCGAATCCATGAAATACTCATTAAAAATCAAGCGCGAATTCAATGTCACTCTTGCTTGTACTACGTCAATAGGTGCTCCGGCACTGGTGGTCATGATGCCAATTGGACCCTGAAACACAACATAGTTTTATATACTTATTATACCATTATTATTTTATCCTAAAAAGTCACCACTCCTTTTCAACTTGATTAAAATCATTCACTTGTTCTGTTCTCGATAAGTAAAAAGAATGATATTGCTGGAGTTCTTCAGAGGAAGAAGAATTTAGGATTCTTCTTCCTCTGAAGAACTCTGTCAAGTCCCAATTGTGTATTTAAAATATATGTAAACACCACGAAGGTTTAAAATTAAATTTAACTATAACAATTTTTATATCGATCTATCAATAATCACATTCTATCCTAGGGAAACATATTCATTAAACCTATAATTTATTTAATAAACCTTAATAGTAGCCTATCCTCCTTCATATAATACTTCATGTATGCCAAATTCCGTAACAATTACTAGACCCACTAAAAGAATTATTAGGAAAAAACGTCGCTAAAATTTAGGTTACACGAATTATTATATTTTTCAACGAAATTTATACTAAAAATATTAATACTGTTTATTTCTTTTTTTCTACGAATTAATAAAATAAAAAAAAATTGTCATATATTTTTTTATTACACTACATTACAAATATATTAAATTTATTATAATGTATATTTTTATGCAAAAATGTTATATTTATGAGAAAATTTGAAGTGAATTTTGAAAATAATAAATAGTTGTGCTCGATTAAGATGAATTTACCTATATATGTATTTAAGTTAAATATAAGAAAAATAACAAAACTATCTAAATTTAAAGAATAATTGCTAAGTTTTAATAGCAATAGCTTATTATCTTTAATTAGTTTATTTATGAACAATGATCTCAAACTTCTACGTCCCAGTATTTTTTAATATACAGCACTGGATATTAGAGTGAAGTTAGTACATAATAATGAATATAGCAAAAATTTTAAAACGCTTTTTTAAAGATATGAAAGCTGTCTGTACAATTTAACAGAAAATCTAAACCAAATATTTAATTATTAAAACAAAAAACTCATTTTTTCGATACGTTTTGCTGATAAATTTTAAAGTTCTCTTAAGAGTCAAGAGGTAATGCATAAAATATCACATTTATAATATAATAATTATTTACTTATATTAAACTTTATTATAAAATACACTGCTGTAATATATGCAATTAAAACAAATGACAATGACAACAAAGGTAACACCTGTTTCAATTATAATTCTATAACATTTATTGATATTGCCATTATTAAATTAATTTTGATCATTTTAACATATTTGCATATATTGAAATAAATCATATTCACTTTAAAGTGGTCAGTTACTAAGCAAAATTGTACACAGAATACTAGATGGTACCAGAATCGAAACTTGTTGTTTATGTTGAGGCAGGTAGCGGCGTGGTGGGTTGGGTCGGTAGGTTTTCCTAACAGTTGAGCACAACGATATCTAGCTCATCCGTCATACACGTGAACTGGTACTTCAACTAATGACTGCTCTGTTTAAAAATACTGTGATTGTAATTTTTGTATCGATATGAAATTTGTGATAATCAATTTATTCGTTCATTTTTCTTTTGTTATTCACTCATTTTTTATTTTAAAAAAGCAACAGCTGAGTTTCCTTATCGTTTTTCCAGCCTGAAATTACATTTCTAACTGGACAATAAGTTCATTAAAAAATACTAATAAAAATGCTTATAATTAAGTTTACTTTAATAAAAACATATTTTTATTTATTTGAAACAATTATCTATTGACATTATGTATTTGCATATCCAATGATGATAGAATAACAACGCTCTATACAAAATACAACAAGAAAAATTTATAACTATACCATTGTTTACGCAAATAAATTATAAATTGACTAATCTATATCCGCGACTTCGTTCACGTAACTAAGAAAAAAGTAGCTTGTGCCATTCGTCATCCCAAATAATATGGGATAAATCCGCCATTGTATATTAAATCTTACACATTGTGTCCAATGTAAATTATATACAATAAAGATTTTTACAATTTAACCAAATTTCGACACAATTGGTTGACCTGCTAGAATTCTAAAATATATTTTCAGTAAACTGAAAATATAATAAAAACTCGTTCATAAAACAATAATTCGGAGAAATTATCAAAGTAAACCATTAGTTTAAGGAACAGGTTTAGAAAAATCATCATATCATATCAGCTGTTAACCGTCCAATGTTGACCATAGAAATACTGATTTTCAAATACTACTAGAAAAAAAATAGTATATATTTATGGTGTTTCATTATTATCATCATATCAGCCTTTAACTGTCCACTGCTGAACATAAGCCTCCCCCTAAGGGGGTATTGCCAGTAGTTGCCATGCTTGGCAAGCGAGTTCACAACCGCAGTTAGGCTTTGGCGATGTTTAAAGAGGGACGCTGCTACCCATCCCTTGATCATTAGTCGCCTTTTACGGCAACAATGGGAAAGGAAAGGGTAGCCCATTCTATGCCAGGACCACGCGGCGAATTGGAGAAATTTTGATAAAAGACCCCTCAGAATCGGTAGCATGTTTTAAATAGATAATATAATTTTTTTTAGTAATTATTGTCTTTCTAGGAAACGTAAAGCCAAATACTGTTATACATAGTGATTTTGACATTTTAAGTCTCGTTTTTAGGGAGACTTTATACAACTTCTATTCTACTCGTATTTATTCTGCAGTGAAGCAGCTGTGCTTTGCATGACTATGTTTCAATTTGAAGGGTGGTAGATGGCAGTGAAATTACATGGTAATACCAGAGTATTACAAGTGGTTACCGTTCCATTTTGATCCATAATAATACCACGTTTTTTTCTAAGAAGAAAAATATTAAAATGAAATTTAGTTTCAAGACAATTTTTTTTTTTATACTTTGAAGGTGGCCAATACCATTTCATTTAACGATTTCATTTTAATTTAAAGTTAATTTCAACTAAGTTTATTCGTGTTACTTTTGTCACTTAATTGATAATAGCTAAATTTAAATTTGATAAAACTTTTATATTTGTTTGTTTCAAATTGCAGGAAAAGATAAAATTAAATGCCAATTTCGCTTTACATTTGCGTCACTGAGTGCACTTGCACTCAGGGACCTAAAATTTGTTATCGTAAGTCTTTTTGATAATAATAGGCATGCCAAGCATCGCATGATTTTTTCAATTGACTTAAAGAAGATGGTTATTTTTATTTTCATTATCGTTCGATTTGGAAAATTCTTTTATCTGAAAAAATATATTTACAAATCGGTCTCATAGACATTTTATCAAAATCGGTCCAGTAGTTTAGTTTTTAAATCAAAATAACTGGTTTTGCCACAACTGAAATCTTTTTTTTTTTTGTTATGGAACACAGATTTTTTTCACAATTTTCATTATTACCAATAGTTATAATTAGATGAATTAAATTTATATAAAATCAACATTCTATATGTAGCACTAAAAATTTAGCTGAACTAATATTATACTATCTAATGAGGGTTGAGCGCTGTTGTCTGAGATACAGGTTTTATAACCTAGTTCAGACACAGATGTTTAAACTGATCCAAATGAATTCGTGCCTATTTTTACTGTAATTTCCAGTGCTAAGTTTGTTACAAATAAAGTTAATGATAATTGTTAATAATAATAAAGTTATTATTATTATTATTATTACAGACATAAATGACATATCATTATGACAATATAAATTATATATGTACTATTATGAATGATTATTGTAGTTATAACATTATTAATTTCTTATTGAAAATAAAATACATTTTACTCACTGATTATATAACTTTTTATGCAACTTAGAATGGCAAGCTAACGGCCCATCTGATGGAAAGTGGTAACCGTCGCCTATAGACAAGAGCAGTACCATGGACGTAACAGAGTATACTGCTTCGCCCACGATAACCCCCAATGCGTTGCCATTCCTGAGGACTCAGGTGTTATTCTTCTGTACTCTCTAAATTCACTGCCATATCCCACCCTTCAAACCGAAACACAGCCATGCAAACACAACTGCTTCAAGGTAGAAACACGAAGAAAAGAAAAAGTAGCTTTAACTAGTAGATAATATTTTTTTTTAATTAATTAAGTAGTGTTTGACATCGTTTTGTACATTTAATTGTTTGTTTGTAATGAATACAAACAATTAAATGTAATCCCTAATTTTATATTCAATATTATAAATATATATATATATATTCTTTATTGCACTAAAACATACAGTAACAACAATAAGTTAATAACAATGTTAGCAAAGGTGAACTTATCTCTAAAAGAGATCTCTTCCAGTCAACCTAACACAGTGGCATAGGAAGTAGTGAGTGGGCAGTAATAGTGCTAAACAGAAATTAAAAAATAAATATTAAATCATTATATATATATATATAAATATATATATATATATACATACACATACACACACATATATAGACATACATTTGAAAGATACAATATTAAATCATTCATATGAATATATACCTACATAAATAAGAATATATATACATTATATTAGTATAAACAAAAGATTAAAAAAAAAATTGTTCTAAAAAATGCAGATTTTATTACAATTACAGTCATTATTTAACTGTCTGTTTGGTAATGTAATATGAATAGCGACATTTATTTACTAGCAGCCTGCTCCGGCTTCGCTTGACTTTTTTTGTAAATAAAATACAGTCCATTTAATTCATTTACATTGTAGCTTTTCAACTGATTTAAAAGAAATAATATATGTAATTCTTGTATGTATATTTTTTTTTAGATAGGGATTCCTATACTATATACCCGTGCGAATACCGGATAGGTCAGTAGTATAAAACAAAAAATTAAATTTTATTCATAATTTAGAGATAAAATTCAATCTCACCTGAGTATTCTGTTTAAATCTGACGGTCTGCAGACTGGCGGAGTCATTTTGCGCCCGTGTAGCGTAGGTCGCCGCCAATACGATTATCAATCGCAACATATCGTAAAATTGTACTATGACCAGAGCTAATATATGTAAACAGTTGCTCTATAACACACCGTAACCATCTTCAGCGAAAAGACAACAGTTCTGTTATATTTCCAACAGCGAGTTATATACTTTGCCGATATTGTGACCTTGTTTCAGTGGGGCCAAAACAAACTTAATCCATGCAATAGTTTCTCAAGCGTAATAAAAAAAATTGTTTATCCACTTGCACTAAGCGCGACGCGCAACGCTCTATTGAAAACTGAAATTGTTAAATATAATTATATAAATGCATATAAGATACCACGTCCCATCCCTATGGAGGGGACAGGGATTATTAGTGATGGGAAGTTAGCGGCTAGTAATACAGTGGCCCCTGAAAACTGACGTGGTTCATTCCTGGTGAATTTAATACTACTCACTGGTATCCCATCGACTTATGCCAATAGTGTAAAAGGAGTTACCAATCTATTTATTATCAACAATTATAAAAAAAAAATATTTCGTCCTACAAGTGGTTTATATTATTACCCTACTTTACCACGTTGATCAGACGGATTAAAAGAGACATATAATCCGTCGTTTATTTTCATTTTAGTTTTTGTCCTCTTGCCACTATGCCAAATTTAAGATGATAATTTTGACAGCTCACGCCTATGAAGTTTCGTATTTTTTTAGTTAAAAATCGTACAGATAATGTCGTACTTCATTGATCGAAACTGCCCACTTAATGATGTGCCACTCTTGTTCTTAGTTTGCCACGCATAACAAATAAAAACAGACTATAAAAATCAGTATGGAAATATATGGAATATATAAAAAGTAACATAAATATTTAAAAATGGCTCTTTAATGACTAAGTATACTATAATATAATATATGGTACTGATTGTGTGATAAAAATATACGCATTGAACAAAAAGTCACCTTACATTGTTAGCTGTTACTTTGAAAAAAACATGGAAATTAAAAATAAAAAATTAAAAATCTATTGTGGCAACACTACAGCCAGGCATTCTTTCGTCAGTATCATCATTACAAGTTTTGACGCCGCTCATTTTGTGCCTTGTATATAAAACAGAGTGATTATATACTCTTTGGTGCTTGTTTTAGATTAAATAGTGGCTCCATACAAATGCTTCGACAAAAATAGATCAACCTTTTTATGCATGTGTGTGTAAATAGAGTCGTCATAATGACATTTATTACTCAGTATATGAGAAAAATTGCGTGGTAAAGTTGAATTAAAAAAGAATTAAAAAATATACAATCTTATGAATATATTTGAAAAATTAAGATAAACAATGCATGGTTCGTAATTATGCTTATCTTTATTAATTCTTTGATTTATATGTAAATACACCTAGACATAGAATATGTTTTCGTTTTTAAAATAAATGAAAATGTACAAATACAATTAATACCAACATAACATATGCATCAGAAAAAATGGTTTATTAAAATTTAAAAATCGGTTTGATGCGGGAATTACTTTAATCTAATACTTGCAACACTACAAAATAGGCGAGCTTTGTATTAATTTTAAAAAAATATGTGTCATATTGGTTGACTAAATTCGGACGCGTTTTTGACACTCAATGCTCTATCTATATAAACTAATGTGCCTATGAATACTTTCGTACAGTTTTTGTTATTCAGTTTTGCGTAAAGTTTCTGTTATTTTTGGATACACAATGCCAGAAAGAACAAAAAAGACTGTTTTAAACAGTGAATGTCGTGAATTTGTATTTCACTTGCGAGATTATTTTGAACGTGAATGACAAAATATCGAACATTGTTACCTGTAACCCAAATTAGCAACTCTATTGCCTGTTATTACAAATACTCTTGGTAAGAGGTATCCTGAATAATGCAAGAAAAATATAGCAAACCATCATCGACTAAAGCAACACGAGAAAAGACAGAAAAGAAATAAAATAAAAAAGGAATTAATATACAACACTAAAGCAGTTAATAATGTCTATTAAAAACTTTAATTTATTTAAAAGCAATTTGAAGACATTGGACTATATATTAAACAAAACTGCATTCGCTAATTTAAAACGTGATAAAAGAACAAAAATAGTAATCGGATACATTGATTAACGATTATACACTACCCCATCCCTACTATGTTTCTGTCAAAATTATCATCTCAAATTTTCATCATAGTGTATTGTGCTTCATATCTCTAGTCACCTCTTTTGACGGAAATCCAGCACCCATAAACAAATGACAAAGGAATCTATCGATAGAATCCTAAACTTTTTGACACTTTTCTCTGTTAGCTGGAAATGGAAAGAAAAATAACATACAATATATTTCGTCAGTGAAGTTCTAACAGTGTGCATTTTTTTTTTTGCATTTTTCATATTTTGATTCGATTCGATTATTAAGGGTATTATCAGAAATGTCTATTTTAAACAATTGTCCTCTATTGAAAATTATTATCAAAGTGTAAAGTGCCTTTAGACTTTCGTGAAGTTACAATTTTAACAAAGATATGTTCAATGATTCACATCAATCGTCACATGGGGTGTCGCCATAAAACTGGGTATCAGCTGTCCTCTTTGTAAATCATTGTGAATAATTTTTGGTCAAGTTTTCACCACCAGCCAATTGACCTGCCTTGCCTATTATTATCCACTGATATCGTGTTGGTATATACTAATAATATAGGCCGGGGAGACAGGGATTGGTAGCAATGAGATCCAACAGACCTATTACTAATAATATAACAGGTCTAACTCCAAGTGGTTCCCGCTGAAAACTATCGTGATTAATTTTTGATGAATTCATCACGATGGGCCAACTGACCTGCTTCATCTTCACCTATCATCCCTCACTGGTGCCCCGCCAGCGTATCGCGATAGCGCAGGCGGGGTTACCATTCCATTTTCATCCATTAAAAAAAATACAGGTCATTCTGCATCTCTCTCTCTCTCTCTACAAAATGATGATTTAAAAGAACTAAGAAACAATAAAAATAATTTGAGTTTGAATTCATTTTCTAATACATCCAATGAAAAAAACGACAGCGGTACGCAACGAGGTCTTAAACTGCTAGTTATAAACAAAGCAGTCTTCATTTCTGACGATGTTTCATTGCGTAATAAAATCCTGAGTGAGAATATCTTCATAAGAGCCAAAGTGACTGATGTATCACAAAGAATTAGCGAACTGAATTGGCAATAGGCTAGCTAAAAAAACCGATAACGGATGGAAAGAAGAGAATGTCCAGCGGCAACTCTATGCCAACAAAGGCAGTATAGGGCGACCCTCCACTAGATAATCGATGACTATAAAAATACTGCATGTACGTAGATTAATTGGTTATATGAATTATTAATAGAGGCAAATAGCTCAAGACAATTTCTAATAGCAGTCTATGAGTAAGAGATGTATCTCCCTCATCGACTGCACTAATATATAATATGAATATATTTGCATTAGTGGACAAAGAATGACTGAAGAAATAATGATACATTTTATTTATACTAATACTCACCTAATAATTGGAAAGTCTATTTCAGCTCTTAGTTAATTTGTTTAAAATACCACACATCACTTCACATCCGTAGAAATATCTAGAATTGAAATAATTACTTGTATAAATATATAGATTATAGAAGAGATACATTGAAGCACTACGGAAAACACGCTACTTACCAAGGGTAACTCTGAATAATTATAATAAATCTTTACCTAAATTAAAATTGGTTAGACAGAAAATGTTATAGACGTAAAATTGAGATCGCAGCTGTTCGCGTTCTACGGATGCATGCTATCAACCACCAAATCTTAGATCAGAGTGAAGGTTGGCTTTTCTAGCCGTTACACTCTAGTGAGCAAGAAGTTTCAACCGCTCTAATAAGAGCAGTTGTGCAAATACTCAATACTTTATTTATTCTTATATACAGAAATGCAATTGACGCATTTCAGTGCAAGCTGTTTTTATTATCTACATCGGAAAATAACTAATTATATATATAAACATTATTCATTACACCATTCCACTCTTGAATAATAGTCTCTCATGGATCAATTACAATTCGCGCCCATTTCAATAACAGTGAATTATTTTATTTATTATTGGAATTAAATTGTACTCACGGTAATATAAAACATATCTGTACAGGAAACAATAGCTTCTCTTTAAAGTGATGAAGCGTGTGATCATTTTACAACTCTTCGAATATTTAAAATATCATGCTATATTGAACAATATTGTTTTTACCATAATCGCTCAACTGATGATCTTCTATTGCACCTCTACATATCACTGGTCATTTGCTATAAAAAGAAAAAGTGATGCGTTGGATGTTAAAGGTATTCGATCAGGTTCAGCATCAAGATCTTCGATTAAATTTGCCCTCATAAGGATTTCCGGAGAAGTTGTGCAAATGGATAGTTAGCTTTCTGTCTATTAGATGTTTTAAAACTGTAGTCATAAATGTTGGAAATCAAGGTTCAGTTCTATTCCCTACGTTATGCCTGCTTCATATCAATAATTTTCCAGCACAGGCGAGTTCAGAAAAAGGTTTACAGGCGTCCTTAGGTTATAGACTATAGTAACCGTTTACTATCAGACAGGTCGTATGCTTCTTTGCCATCACTAAAGTGTAAAAAAACTTTGTCACTCTGAAAACAAGATATATGCTTGAAAGCAAAGGTATAATAATAAAAGGTAAATAATAATAAAAGGTATATAAAAGTAGACATGTTTTAATGTAATAACTACTGGTTTCACTTACGTATAATTTGTTTGAGAAAGCTCGACTAGTTTAGTAGTTACTTAGTTTAGTTTTTAGTTTACTAGTAGATATATTGACTCGATGACATCAATTCATGGCTTTATTTATATCATCATCATCAAACCCTTATTCAAATTCTTATTTGGAGTCAGCGTAATGTTTTTCTCTTCCATTCCTCTCTATCCGCAGTCATCTCCGCATTCACTCCCATTCTGGCCATATCATCTTTCACACAGTCTGTCCATGTCTTTTTAGGTCTTCCTCTGGCCTTATAGCCATCCACATTGATTCTTAATACCTTTGCTCCTCATCCCTGCGCATCACGTGTTCATACCAGGACAGATGGTTACTTCTCAACTTTTCCCTTATTTTCATTCCCTTATTTATATATTCAATTGAAATGTTGTTTATGTAGTTTAGTAATCTAAATGACGATTGTCATTAAATATCATATGTTTGTGATAAATAGTATTGTTTATATTGTTATTTCATACAAGTATTGTACAAGTAATTTAAATATTGTTTACAACAGAATAGTAAAAAATATGTATGTAGGTATTATTAAATATTCCGTGAAATATTGTATTAAATGTAATAATTTGTATTCATTGTGAATTATTTTAAACGTAATAAGACATGTAAGTGATATATTATATTATATTAGCGATTAATAACTTTGCTTTCACTACAAAGTTGCTATTGATAAGTATTGATTTGATTATTGTTTAATAGTATACAAGAGCGGGTATGTTACACATTAAGAAAGGTCTTGTTTTTTATAGTTTTGTTCTCGGCAGATATCTACACTTTATTTACCTTTACAATTTATTTACTTTTACAATTTATTTACCTTTCATACACATTTAACTAAGAAATTTAATTAAGAATCATAGCTTTATTTTGTATTTAATCTTTCCTTTTAGTTACTATATAGTCAATATTACAACTATATGTATCATTTTTCATTATATAACCAATATCGTGATCATCATATCAGGTATAAACTGTCCACTGCTGAATATAGGCCACCCTCCTTATGGGGGCCAGTAGTTTCCACGCTTGGCGGACGGATTGGCAACCGCAGTTAAATTTTTGCGATGTTTTAAGAGGTACCCTGTTGCCTATCTTCCAACCATTAAATTCCCTTAATCGCCTCTTACGACACCCACGGAAAAGGAAGGGGCGTGCGACTATATGTATTTTTTTCTTCATTATATAACCAATATCGTGATCATCATATCAGGTATAAACTGTCCACTGCTGAACATAGGCCTCCCCCATAAGGAGGGAGACGGGTTGGCAACCGCAGTTAAATTTTGGTGATGTTTTAAAAAAGACCCCGCTGACCATCTTCCGGTAATTTAATTCTTCTAATACGTTATCTTAAACAATTTCTGTTATTATGTAATTTTAGAACTTCAGTCGATTTCTTAATCAAAGACACAGTCAATCTGACTGCCTTCAGAAGACGTACTATTTTTTTTTTAATTGGACGTCATTGGCTAAAGGTAAATTCGCACGCATATTCAATAGAATCTAAAGGCTGTGCAACTTTTACATTTTATACATGTATGTGTAAGTGTAAGTGAGTATATTTATATATTATTTAAGTAGTCATTATCATCATCATTATTTTCGATAGTCCAACTTAATTTGTACTTTTTAATAGTAAATCTACCTCCTAATTATTTTTATGATCGACCGTTACGTTTTAAGTCCGCCATATATACATTTGCAACAGTTGTGTTTGCATTGCTGTATTTCGATTTGAAGGGTGGGATATGGCAGTGAATTTACAGGGTACAGAGAAATAACACCTGAGTCCTCAGGAATGGCAACGTATGGGGGGTATCATGGACGAAACAGTATACTCTGCTATGTCCATGGTACTGCTCATGTCTATAGGCGACGATTATCACTTTCCATCAAGTAGGCCGTCAGCTTGTTTGCCATTCTATGTTGCATAAAAAAATAATAATGCTAATAATAAAACTTTAAAATTTTCCAAAAGAAATTTATTTATATATTTTATTTAAACTTCAATAGTTTAAATAAAATATATAAATAAATTTCTTTTGGAAAATTTTAAAGTTTTACAACTCTTTTACACATGCTAAACTAATTTAGGGCATAAATTTCCAATTCGTCTCACCTGCCTACCTACTAAGATACATAAATTTGCAGATCGCCTCATCTACCTATCGAGATGCGTAGATTATTGATCACATAAGGAACATGTGTGTAAATAATCCTATTTACTTTCTAGAAATTCTTATGACATGTAAATAGTGGTATTATCTATTTACTTAATGAAGATAATAGATACCCACACGTATTTTTCCAATACACCTGACTTTATCAGACATTATGCTAATGTACAATAAACAAGTAAATTTCATATCTCAAAAACAACGGCGCCTTCAAATAGTAATAAAGTAATTAATTCTAGTAATCTGGTTATTTAGATAGATATTCTCTTTATTTATATCAAGACATAGACAAATATTGTAAAAAAAGGTAATAAAAAAGAACATTCTTTAAAGTAAGAATACTAAAACATACTGTAATAATAACAATTAGAAATAATGTAAGCAAAGGACAGTTGCCGTGTAGTCCCGGCATAGAATGAGCCACCCTATCCTTTCCCGAAAAAGGGATTTAGGGGCCTTAAAAAAATTATCGTCACATTAGATCGTGTTCCACAAAAACTAACTTCGATTATGGCAAAATCAGTTATTTTAATTTAAAAACTAAAACTACTGCTAAAAACTAATCTTTCATCATTGTTCAAATCATCATATTGTTTTCAAATCGGATTACAACTGGCTAAGTTAAAAATACAACCGAATTTAGAACGCAAAACAATGAATGGATGAACTTTATTTACTTGAATACAGATTATTAGATTAGAAGTATTTATTTTAAAACAGAATCTCTCCATTCGACCATTTGGCGTGCAAATATTTAATTTGAAACCTGTCCTTACAATATTACTTTAAAATAGTCTTCAAGTAAATAAAAAACATTTCTATGCAAGCCTATTATAAAGTTTCTCATTAAATTTTATGACATTGCTTTATTTTATTAAAATAAAATTATAATTACAGACTACTAAGGGCTGCTTATAAAAAAGTAAAACCTGAAATTAATCCATACTAGCTTTCAACCGCGACTTCGTACATTTCACCAAGGCAGTATCAGTAAGAATAAATATTAGCCTAGGCTAAGAAAAAGAGTTAGGTCTTTTTCTAACCCATATAATGCATGTATACCAAATTTCATGACCTTCATTAAACCATTAAAGCACCAAGAGATATCAAACAAACAAAATCATTTTTACACTTTAATATTAGTGAGGATAAACCCTTGTTTGTAATAACGAGAACATATTATATTGGTACTAAACAACATCGTGAGAAATTAAATTGTGAACATTAAATTTTTATTTAAGTCGGGCAGATAATAAATTTTAATGCCCACCCAGTAGCTTTACATAACATAATACTACTAGTATAATAATTATTAACATAGTAACTACTCATAATTTATTTTTTGCTCGGTTACTAATTGTGATGTTGAGAAAAGCATTCTATCAATCACTTCCGACGCTATCGGTATCGATAGTGTTAGTCGTACCATCATCATTACAGCCATTATCTATTCACTGCTGAACATAGACCTCCCCATAACTGCCATAAAAAACGGTTCTAAGCCACATGCATGGGGGAAAAGGGATTGTTAGTAATGGAATCAAATAGCCCTATTACTAGCAATATATCCTGTCAGGTCGACTTTCACGTGGTTCCCCTTGGAAACCGTCGTAACTAATTCTAGTTTAATTCGTCAGGATAGGCTAACTGACCTACTTTCATCTTCATCTGTCAATCCTCACTAGTGCCCCGCCAGTGTATACCAATAGCGCAGACGGGGTAACTATACCATTATCATCCATTAAAAAAAAAACACATCCATCCACTGACTCCATGCAGTGCACTTGAATTCGTTACTCCATCTAGTGGGAGAGTCGTACCATGATCCTCCCTATTCTTGGCATTATCCTCCCAACTATCACTAACGTCTTTAACATT